TTTTGGAGACAGGGTCTCATTTTGTAGTTCAGAATGGCTTTAAAGTCACTATTGTTGCCAAGGGTGGCCTTGAACTCACAACTTTCCTTCTGCCTTGGTCTCTCAGCTTCCTGAATGCTGAGATTACAGGATCCGTCACTACCCTTGGCAATTCTTGGGAAAACTTTGGGAGATTTTTCATAGATGGATAAAATAAAAGCTCAAAAGGTTGTGACTTCATTCAAATTGCATGTTTAGTATACTTGCTGTTGGTAAAACCAAGAACACATGAGTAAAAATTTAGATTCAGATTCCTTAAAGTAGCTGACTATCTTGTGAAGTTGTTGCAGTTCTAGGGACATGAAAAATTATAGTAACTACTGTTACATGTTTTCAATGTCACAATAACTGTTTAAATTAAGAGCCATATTTTCCTTTGTTGAATTAATGTTATCATTCTGAAATGTAGATTTCCAAACTTCAAGCCAACACTTATGTTGAAATATCTATATTATTTTTGAGTTCAGAAGCAACAGTGAAAAGAGTACTCAAGTAGAAAATCACTTTTTAAATGAAGAAATATAGATTGTCAATTTATCTTAAAGAAGATCTGAGAGTACTGATGCATAGATACGAATGTACTAGTTATCTAGTGTTGTGGTTTTAAGCTAATACTGTGGTCTGATAACATTAGGGTAGTACTGTAAGTCTAGAAGATATGTATCACTTAAACTTTATAGTCTCCTTTTAAAGAGATTAGTCGTATTCAGGAAATTTACATAGAACAATTCAGACTTAAAAATGAAAGACTGAAAATACATCATCAGAAAAATGTAAATTTCAAAAGCAGGTGACAGGATGTTAATATTCAAGTAGCATTTAAAACAAAAGCATAAAATCTGATTTTAAAAAATGTCATTTTATGTTAAGAAAGGGTATATTCCATCCACATGAGTACTTAGCAGGTTTGAAGTCATATGAACTGAGTAAGCAAAACTTGAACAAAATGAATTATCATATAAAAGGTATATATTTTTCTATCATGTATAGCACAGTTCCAAGACTAATAATTTATTAGGCCAAGTACAAAATCAAAACAAAGCAAAAATCCTCTTAAGTCAATGTATGCACATCATTTCTTGATTATAATTCAGTAAAAGTACAATTAGAAAAAGTTTTGAAAGTTTAATTCAAGTTTCTATGAAAAACTTATAACCATGGTTTTTAAGTAATTTTTGTATCAGTGTGATACAGATTCATTTTAGAGATTATTAAAGATTAATAACTAGGGATTAATAAAGGCAAAAATATAAATTAGGAAGTAGTAAATCATTTAAACTAACACATCCAAATACTGATTATATGAAAATGCTAAATAAAATTCAGTACATCTTGTTTAAAGTGATCAAAGGAAAACAGGAGAAGGAAAGCAAAATGAGAAGTTATATCTAAGGAAATGGATAGAATTACGGTGTTGAGGTGATGTCAGACCTGGTTCATGTGCCAGAAAATATTAAAACCTTAACAATTGACTGCTTGTATACCTTTATACTTTAATCTGATAAAGACATCATCTTTTAAAAGAGAAAACAAAAAATGTACAATATAGGGAAAATTAAATAGGTTGGCCCAATGTAGGGATACATGTTGAGGCAAAGGAATTGTGAGAGATATGAGGGGACACCAGAGTATCATTTAACATTTGAATTAATTGGGTATGTGATTAATCTTATACTTTGAGGTAATTATTCCAAGAGTATAAAAAATAAATTGGAGAATCAATTTTCTGCAGCTTATTAGTTATCTGTGACTAGATAACAGGAAGAAACAAATAGAAAGGCCACAGAAAACCAGGACTGATATTTGAAGTGGTACTTAGAGTCCACATCTGGATTTTGGCACTGAATAGATGTAAAATTAAAGATGAGTATTTTAAATAAACTTATTCTCTGGATTGCCTTGGGATGTGCGTGCGAGAGAGAGAGAGAGAGAGAGAGAGAGAGACTTACTTGCAGGTAGTTTACCTGGTGACTGTATCAGTCTGACCTTCACTCTGCTGTGTAGACTTTTTCCATAGAACTGGAGTTCCCTCACATTTTTATAACACTGTAAATCACTACTATCTTGTAGCTGTGTTTCTTTGTTATAGCAAGAAGAAAATGGCAGGGTAGTACAGTGGTTGAGTGAAAGCTCCGAAGTTTGTAATTTTGGTTCAGTTGGTATTTATGCATGTCATTTATCTAGTGTTGATAACTACTTAACACTAGTTCATGTATTCTTTATGTTTGTCTTTTTGGCAAGGAATAACTTGAATGTATAAAGACCTGCATTATAGGCATACTTTAGAAAACTTTGTGTACCATGCAAACTTATACTTAACAATGAAGATGAAGAGAAAATAGTCTTGTCATTCAACAAATAATAATAGACTTGCTTTGACTTGAAAAGTTTCTTTGATTTTGTTTTTTGAATAGATAAATTCATATGGTTGAAAAGTTCAGATGCTTCAAAAAAGTATCCTTCCTATACATATTCCATCTGTTATTTCTTTCAGCCTGCTTAGCAATTCTGAATTGTCTTTTTTGTTTTTTACTTTTTTACTTTCACTTTATTTTTTATGAGTACATGTTTATAGTACACAATGAATACATTATCATGGGGAGTTGGTACATGTGTATACATTACATCTTAATCTCTTTTTTGTCCTCTACCCCTCCCATCCCTTCCGGTATTATTATTATTTTTATTTTTGTCTTTTTTGAGACGAGGTCTCGCTGTACAGTTCAGGCTGGCCTTGAGTTCACTTTGTAGCCCAGGCTGGTCTTGAACTCGAAGCAATCCTCCCATCTCAGCCTCCCGAGTGCTGGGATTACAGGCATGAGCCACCACGCCTGGCTCCGGTATTATATTTTGATGAACATGCATGACAAGTTGTTTGCTGAAATTGCATTGAATAATGTGTAAGAAAACATTTTAAGTTCCATTTAAACATTATTGTTTATTCGTTTAATTTGTTTTTTGAGGCAGAGTCTCACTATGTAGTGTAGGCTGGCTTGGAATTCCCTCACTTAGCCCAAGCTGGCCTTGAATTCACCGTGATCCTCCTGCCTCGGCTTCCTGGAGTGCTTGAAGTACTATGTCCGGCTACATTTAAACATTTTTAAACATGAAGGATGCTTTTTGTCTAAGAAAGGGTCTGGCCCAGGCTGGCCTGAACTCTTGGGTTCAAGCAGTCTTCCTGTCTTGCCTTCTGAATGACTGGGACTCTAGAACACTGGGAGGACAAGTAGTGGTGTCTCTGGGTCCAACAAAGATACTTTTTTACTGTTTATTGTTCTCATTGTTCTTCAAGGCATTACAGCTTGACTACTATTTTGTTGAGAAAAACATGTAGAAATTAAATGCAGGCTATACTGAAATTATACCTTAAATATGGATAGACTTTCTATCTATAAACTATACTTTAAATTTGGGTAGACTTTCTTAAACTGTTAATTAGTATTTGTATATAGTTTCATCATGCTTTTGTGTGATTGCATCTGATGTTTCACTTTCATCACAATCCTGTTAAGCAATGATACATTCAATTGTCCTCAATTCCTGAGAGTACAAATTGGGGTTTATGTGATGCCTGTCAGCATTCAAATTTTAGCCTTCTGGTTGCAGAATATAGGACCTTTCCATTGTAACCAAAAACTTAAGTCATTTGTCATGATTTCAAGTGGTTTATACTCATATTTTGATATTGTGTCTGTGTGTGTGTGTGTGCGTGCGTGCTTGCAATAAAATCATGCTAACCCTTAAAAAAAAAAGCATGTGGATACACATCACTGTAGGCAGTTCAGTATACCTGTTTTTCTTTTCTTTTCTTTTTTTTATCGGTACTGGGGATCGAACTCAGGGCCGCGCGCTTGCAAGGCAGCTGCTTATGCCACTGAGCTAAATCCCCAGGCCCAGTATACATGTTTTTAAATTCACGCAAGTTTGTTTTATCCTTTTCATTAGCTGGAAGAAAGATATTTGTGTTCAGTTTTTAACAAATGGGAAATGTTTACATGTGGCTAATAACTTAAAGAAATGTTGTGAACTTTTTTCTTTTGAGTATATATACTTTTATTTTCTGCAAGTCACTTTTGACTATCAGACTTCTTAATATTGTTTCTTATTTGCTTTATAATAAGTTGATTTTTTTCTAAGTCACACTGTGGAGTAGGAAAAAAGCTTTAAGAGATGTACTTTAATGCTTCATTAACTCATCATTAGTGAATGCACAGAGTAGATTTTTTCTTTAAATATCTCAAATTCCTCCTTTACATAACATGTGATTGTATATTTTATGCATTTTTAATAATATTTTCAAAAACATGTCTAAACCTCACTGATTTTTTTCAAAAGAGATGTATGTAACATGGGGACATCTTTGGATCTGTTAGTAGTTTGTTGAATTCCTTTATATCAACTGAGTATTCCTGTTTTTGTTATGCTGTGTGGCCCGCATCACTTTTTTGTTACTACCATTTTCTGTCTCTTAAAGGCAGTATTCCCCTATTTAGTTTGTTCATTCTGATACATTTTTGCTTGGAAAGTAGTAAATAACCAAATCTATGAGAAGTATGTATTTAATAAGAGGGCATAAATCCTTGTGAGAAGCTTTAGATATAAAGAGCATAGCTATAGTGCAGAGAGACCTTTTGACAAATTATTTCAGATAATCATTGATCTTTGCTTATTTTGTTAATGGATCAGAGTATTGTTTTGATCTTTGAAAAATGAGTGTTATAACAATTGTATTTTAAGGAAGAAAACTTATTCTAATATTTTCCTTTGTATTGCTGTTGCTCTGAATTACTGTTACTGGGCTGGATTTTAAATTTTTAAATACTAATCACTTAAAGTCAAATTTTTAAGGTATATATGTTCTTCAATAGGTACATCCCAGTTACAATAGCAATTTAGTGAATAACTTTAATGGAACTTTTCTTTTGAATTTGGCTTCTCTTTTTTTTTTTTCTGTTCACCAGGGAGTAACTATTCCCAGTCAGAGGCGCTATGTGTATTATTATAGCTACCTGTTAAAGAATCATCTGGATTATAGACCAGTGGCACTGTTGTTTCACAAGATGATGTTTGAAACTATTCCAATGTTCAGTGGCGGAACTTGCAGTAAGTGCTCTAAATTCTCATCCTTCCACCTGTTGGAACACTTTCTTGACATATATAGAAGTACAGTATATATAAGCATTTAGAAAGAAAATTAACACATTTAAATTTCATGCAGGAGAATATATTTCTGAAGTGTCTGAATTAGCTCCATTGTTCTCATTAGGCTAAAGAAGCCAAAAACAATGGGTTTTAATGTTCTTGAAGCCAAATTATATTCATGAAAAAAATTTTATGTTAACCACCACCAAATTCAGCCTAAATTCTGGCCAAATGACTGACAAATCTGTCTCAGTAGAGGTTCAGTGTGACAGTGACAGTGAGATTCATTATTTTACTGGTCTTGGGGCAGGGACCAGTTCCTTCATCTTGAAAACAGTAGATATTTACAGTAATAGTGACAAGATAATAAGGAACAGAAGTGTAAGACACGTTAGCAAGTTCAGATATGAGTAATGAGTAAGATTGAATCAGTATGTGGAGTATCAAAGAAAACTTGAGATAAGGTCTAAATTTTAGTTCTAGATTAGTCAAATAATGCATTGTTCAATCCCAGGCATATCACCTACATTGCTGAGTTCGCTCATTAAGAAAATGGAGACTGAAATAGGAAATGTTTCTGGATAAGAAGTAAATATAGACCATGTCATTGATGTCTGCCCCTCTAATGTATTTCTCTCTCATAGCCTAACCTCTGTAACCCTGTCTTAGTGATCTTCATTTTATTCTGTTTCTACACTATTCAAAAGCTATAGTTCTTAGCTCAACTGATAGGAAACTTAATACCTGTATGCAAACCAGTTGATCAAGGGAGAACGTGTAGAAGAAATTATTGTCCAAGCCCTGTGAACGATGAGACTGACTTCTTTTTTATGAAACAGAGTTTTATAATACTGGAACTTAAATACCACATGGAAGGGGTCATGTTTTCATTTATATAAAACATTTTATTATAACAGGTGCTAATTCTGTAGTTTCTAGATAAGATAACCACATTACGTTTTCTTTTAATACCTCTACTATTCCTTTAGTGATATTATATATTGTTAGAGGCTTTAGTTTTTAGCTTTGCATTTTGAAAATATTTATGTAATTAAAGGTTTTTTATTCCTATATTAGTCTTTATCTAGAAAATTAATTTTCTAATATGGTTTTTGCCAGTTAAATGTGATCACCCTCACCAAATCTTTAATGTATTCTAAGAGCAAGGCAACCTCAACAAAGACCAGAGATTTATTAGTACAGTGTGTTAAAGGTGTCTGAGGAATTTCATTGACTTCAAATTAATTAATTTATTTTTTATCTTGGTACAATTAAAAATGTTGCAGAGTGCAAAGCACTGGGCTGATGGAGTTGATTGACATAGGAACTCAACAGATTCATAGAGAAAGGAAAAGGAATAAAAATTGTGTTTTTTCTGTAATATAGGTAGTGGAAGAGCTAAACAGAAGATATTATGGAGAAAGAATACCTGAGAGTATATGTACTTCAGTAATCTTATATAGTACAGCTTTTTCACATTAATCTCTGTAGCAAAGGTTTCTTGTCAGTTCTACTCTGCCTATCTATCTATAAGGCCTATTTTGTTTTGTTGGTCTCAGTATTCCATTTACATTTCTAGACTTAAAGTTATTGACTAGAAATCGTTTTCACTTCTCTTTCTATGTACTGTGATCTAATGTTTTTATGCACTGTGATCTAATTGGAGCTTTATGATATATGAGTAATTATTAAATGGGGGTTGTGTGTATAAATTATAAATGCTATAGTCACAAAAAGAAAGTTTGGGGGATTGTCAAACAGTCGCATGGAGAAAAGTCCACCAGCTCTTTTTTGAACATTGGCAAAAGCATATAGTTTAGCTTTGTAGGCAATAGGAAATGGCTTGAACTGAAGTGCATCAGAAGTAAATGAACTGGACAAAGAAATCATTCCTACTTTGTTCCATTGGAATGAAATGTGTGACTGATTATTAGAGGATCTTAAATAGGGACGTTAGATTTGATTGGATAAATACTATAGTGTCATGATAAAACTATACAGGCTTAAACCAAGTTTTAAGGACAGTTATGTAGAAAGTTTGTTTGCACGGGAAATAGAAACAAAATCAGTAATGTGATTTGTCTTAAGCCAGATGTGCTAGAGAAATCAAATAGAATTCATTGAGTTTTTATTTTTGCTGTTTATATCCAAAGATTTTGTCAAATCTTTGATTCTGCTCAGATGTATGATTCATAGTAAGGAGAAAGAAAAGCAAATCTGAGATTTAGGGACTTAAATATTAATATTTTGTTCTGAACATGTTTCAAATCTGGTGAAGATAAGCTATGTTCAATGAGTATTTCAGTATAGGTTTAAATATAGGTGGCAAATAATATCTAATATTTTGGGAGGCAACAGTAAAGACTTTCATACAAGCATGGTGTGGAGGTAGAGGGTAGGAAGTATTGGAGGAAGGCAGGGGAAAGGTTGAGACAATGTGGGAGTGGCAGCTTGGCTTCACAAGAAACACGGGATCAGTGAGAGGTAAAGTATCCTCTGCAAAGTTGTCAGGGGTTAGCAGTCTTTTTCTTTATATATATAATTTATAATTATATATATTTTGGGGGGAGGGTGGTACTTGAGATTTAACCCAGAGCCCTTCACGTGCTAAGCAAGCCCTCTATCATTGAGCTAAAATTTCTAGCCCTTTTTATTTTTATTTTTTATTTTGACATGAAATTATATTAAGTTGCTTAGGCTGGCCTTAAATTTGAGACCCTCCTGCCTCAGCTTTCTGAATACCTGGGATTATAGGCATGTATCATACTGCTTGGCAATTGTCTTAATATATATATGTATACATCTAAGAAATTTAATTTTTATTTACTAGGCATGGATCTTCTCATTCTTTAGGACACAGTATCTTAAAGGTCAAAAGAACTATACTTATTTTGGACTTCTGATAAGTTAGAGCCTCTTGGTCTAAAATTTGAAGTAATATTGTAGAGAGGATTATTTTCTTTAGTAGTTTCAGGAAAGCTTTACTACTTATTACAAGATTTTTAACTTAGTTTTTTTTGGATAATTTTAAGTAACACTGAATTGTCTTTTGCTTGTGAGTTGTTTATGTAACAATTCTAAAGTTCTTTTTTAAATTTCTTTTTTATTAGTGCATATTGGTAATGTATAATGACCACATTCCTCATGGGAAGTTGGTATATCTATATAACACATCTTAAACAGTTCTAAAATTTTTTGAAATTATACATTTTAGATGTATTTAAGTTGAAGTATGAATTATACCACCAGTTTTTTAAAAATCTTATAATAAGTGCCATCAGATTTTTAATTAATAAAATTGTAAGCATTTTCATCTTGGTTAATTTTATTATAGCTTTGACATCATGCCTTATTCATTTGCTTAATAAAGCAAGATTCTACATGAAACTTTCAAGTTTCAATAAAGACTTACTATGCTTATTGTACTTTGAAATTTTAGTCAAAAAAATGAAACTTATTGACAAATTGTTGGTGTAATAATTTTCTTTTGGGAGTGGCTTTTTTCTCATGGTAAATCTCTTTAAAATGCATGTTAGAACACTTTATGCTTTTATCAAACATCCTACTTATTGTAGCTCACACTGCTTTAGATATTATATAGGTAAGTCAGTAGGCATTTATTAAACTAGAAATTTCATTGATTTGGCTTTTGTCTTATTGGTCATTTTCATCTTGATGTATTGCCTTGTGATGTTGAGATTTTTATGTCTGATTATATACACTTTTAGTATACTACACATAAATTATGCTTTGTCAAATTATCTAGATACGTTTAGTAAATTGAAGTCCATCATTTTTATGATTAGCATAATTAGCTATAAATGAATTTATTGGTAGATTTTAAAGTAAACATAAATCTGTTTCCACATCTTACACTTTTTAGTTGAATTGCTGACATAAAAATATAATGAATTTTGAGAAGTTATACTTGCCATAAAAGACATAGACTAACGTCAAACTGAGTGTTTTGGAGAGAGGGGAAGTTTTGCTGTTGCTTTTACTTTAGGTCAGTTGCATTTCTTTATAGGCATCTTAAATCTCTTTTTTGCTGTTTAATGTGATGGTGACTTTATACTTTTAAGAATAAAATATGGTAATAAAGTGATGGTTAGTATTTTTATAAATACCTAAGCTTGCATTTTTGAAATTTATTATGATTTTGTTATAGGTTATATTCTCTTTCTTGTGAGCATGTTGTAATTTTTATTTTGTGGTTTTTGGCTCATAGCAAATATATTTTAAAAGTTACCATTTACACAGTTTACAAAAGTATAGAAAATTCTTAAAATCATTTTTATGCTAAAATTAACTTATATTATCATTTTTAGCATAATTTTAATGTCTCAAGTCTAATCTTGGGACTATTTCTGAAATAGGAATTGACTTTCATATGAGTAACATAGTCTTTTATTTCGAAGGTTCAAATTGGAGAAAATCATATATATTTTTTTAATGTAAAGTCCTGCTATGTAGTTTAGGCTGGCCTTCAGTTCACTGTGTAGCCTACGTTGACCTTAGACTCATAATGATCCCCATAATGCAGCCCTGCTTCATCCTCCTGAGTGCTGGGATTATAGACATGTGCCACCACACCCAGCCTTACCTTGATTATATTTTTGATCTATTTCCATTGACTTGTTCAGATCAGGAGTGCAGATGGTGAATTAACCTTTAGTGTACATTGCTGATAACTAATCATTAAAATAATGGTTTTAAGTCATTTCCTGTGAAATGATACTAGTATTTGTTTAACCATGCAGATCCTCAATTTGTGGTCTGCCAGCTAAAGGTGAAGATATATTCCTCCAATTCAGGACCCACAAGACGGGAAGACAAGTACATGTACTTTGAGTTTCCTCAGCCATTGCCTGTGTGTGGTGACATCAAAGTAGAATTCTTCCATAAACAGAACAAGATGCTAAAAAAGGTTTGCACTTTGTTTTTATTGGGCTGGTATACAAAATACTTATGCCTTAAAGAATAACCCCAGATCATTTGTTTAAAGCCGTTGGTTAAGCAAAAGTCATTCTGTAGTAAGAGATGAAAAGATGTATTTTATGAGTGACATTTAATGAACTATGGTTAGTGTTACTGTGATTTTAATGAGACATTATAAGGATAGATGAACTTCAGAAGGGAAGGCTATATGGTATTATAACATGAGATGGATTTTTCTTAATGTGAGTTACACAAAAAAAATTCATAAAAGATTACATACATACCTCCATTTCAGTCATTTATATTCCTCTAAAAAATGTGGTTTATTAGCTGAGAAGAACCTGAGATCGCAAATTTAAGTATTTTTTGGTATATAGGTGAGAAGTAAGATCTGTTCTGTGGCCTTACGTAATAGCATAAGCCAGGTTTCCCCATTTTGCTTCATTTTTCTTGAGATTGGATAATTTCATATTTTTTCCCCAAGATTTGCTAAGTAGTTAGTATTTAGTTTTTTAGCTAGGAGAGAAATAAGTACGAAGAGGAAGTAGTAATGAAAAAAATGTGGTGTTTAAAAATGCAGGTTTATACAGTAAGATTTACATTTTACTGAGCTATATTTAGAGAAGGCAAAAGCTCTTTTGTAAAACAGCCATGGTTTAGAGTTAAGTGTGAACAATTTGTAAGGTGCAAAATTTTATGTAATAATAGAAAAGCTTGGTGTAGGTTGCTGTCTTTAAAACACACTAGATAGTGTTATTAATTTTTACATATTGTCAGAAAGAAATAGGATTGCTGTAGTTTTCTAATTTTTCAGTTTTCTTTTGAAAGAAAATAATAGGAAGTTTCACTTCTATAAAAATTTTCAACACTTTTGACTTATCAGAAGAAATATAATTGTCTTTAGAATCTTAAGTAGCTAAAAAGTCACAAATTATTTACTTAAAAAATATTTTTTCTGGTACTGAGAATCAGAGTCAGGACTTCATGTTTGCTAGACAGGCACTGAGCTATATCCTCAGCTCCCACAAAATGTTAAGTTGATGTTTTTCATCAGAAATACATTTCTTATCTGTTTAAATAAAAGTTATATGCATTTTCAAAATGCTTTTGAATTTATTTTTAATATTTATTTTATTTTGTATTGGGGATTAAGCCCTAGGCCTTGAACTGAGCTATTCCCTCAGTCCTTTTAAAAATTTTATCTTGAGACAGAGTCTCAGTAAGTTTTTCAAGCTGGCCTCAAACTTCTGATTCTCATGCCTTAGTCTCCTAAAATGTCTGGGATTACGGGCACACACCAGGCTGAAAATACTACTTTTCGATAATCTAAAAAGTGTTAGCAAATGTTTCAAAATCAAGACAGTTAGAAGCTTTGCATATCCCTCCTCCCCTTGTTATTCATTGTAAGACTTTGGTACACAAAATACATATTTTTAAAACTAGATGCCTGCTTCTGCATTGTTTGTACCTTTAGGGAGTGCTAATTCTTATAGTCTATGTTTTACATTAATACTTATAAAATTTAAGATTAAATATTTATAACATTTTAGTATAATTGATACACATGAAGAATCCACATTTTAAAAAACTTAAATATTAGCTTATTGCCTTCTAAGTAAAATACAATTATTAACTCAATGACCTTGTTAAAATAGTTGAAATTAACAAATGTTTCAAAAGACCTTTCTTGCTAGGTACTATTAAAAGCTAATAGTGAAATCTAAGACATAAGATCCTTAAGAGTCTCATCATCTTGAGGAAAAAACCAGAACTTGACACATTAGAATGAAAAGTTTAGATGGCATTGTCAGGCAGCAGGTATTGTGTTACAAGGCTGTACATCATTACTGTCAGATGCTCATACAGACTTAATTTCTGTGTTGAGAAAGGTTTAAAGTGATGTAGTTTTGCTGTTAAAGTTTTTAGTTAAGGCTTCAAATTATTGGAGAGTTTTGTTTTGTTGTTTGTTTGTGCAGAAGGGTCTTACCATATAGTCCAGGCTGGCCTTGCACTCAGTATGTAACCCAGCATGGCCTTGAACTCATGGCGATCCTCCTGTGTCAACCTCCCAAGTGCTGGAACTTTGTCTGGCGTATTAAATTTTTAAAATAGACATTTTGTAACAGAAAGAAATCAGACTTGTCTCCCTCATTTTGTTCTAGACGTTTCCAAACATAATTGTTATATTGGAATCACTTGTGTTTGTTTATATTACTTTAGTCATAAAAATGTAACTTCCCTGCTTCATTAGGGAAATTGTACTAACCTTCCAAGAACCTTTATTAAAGTAAAAGTTCTGTGTTTTGTTACACCTACATACAGGTGTGTGTGTGTGTGTGTGTGTGTGTGTGTGTGCGCGTGTGTGCTAGGGATCAAACTCAGAACTGCACACTTGGAAGGTAGGCGCTTATGCCACTGAGCTAACTCCCCAGCCCCAAATGCAGCATTTTAAAAAGCTAGTATTAGAGTAGAAAAGAAGTGTGTATGATTTCATAACAAAATTAAGTTACATCAAATCTTCCAACGTTGTGGTTTTGGTCTAAAATTTGAACAAAAGAAAAATCAGTGAATGAAAATGTAAAGGATAATCCACAGATTGTGTTAATCTTTATTCACAATATATAATGATAGTTTTTTTAATTGACTTCTTATGGTAAATGTGTTATGTAGATAACATTCTTTTTTAAAAAGATAAAAAATTAATCATTTTTTTCTCTTTTAGGACAAAATGTTTCACTTTTGGGTAAATACGTTCTTCATACCAGGACCAGAGGAAACCTCAGAAAAAGTAGAAAATGGAAGTCTATGTGATCAAGAAATTGATAGTATTTGCAGTATAGAGCGTGCAGAAAATGATAAAGAATATTTAGTACTTACTTTAACAAAAAATGATCTCGACAAAGCAAATAAAGATAAAGCAAACCGGTATTTTTCTCCAAATTTTAAGGTCAGTTAAAACACTAAGGAATTGATGAAGTCTGTTAGTTGTGTGTGTGTGTGTGTGTGTGTGTGTGTGTGTGTGTGTGTGTGTGATTTTATTGCAGGTGAATAGTTGAAGACCTCGCTTATTTTTAAATTATCTGTTACATAGAAGTACACTATTCATGAGCAGTAGCCTGAATGTTTGTATTGTTTGGTAAAATCTGGCTTAAAGGTATGGGACAGGAGTTGAGTGGAATATGAAGTATAAATGGAGAAAGGAAGAAATAGATGAAAGCTAGGTTGTTTGGAAATGATTTGTAGGAATGTTTTCACTACCCCTACCCTTGTCTCCCTAATTTATTTGCAGCTCCTCGGAGTGATCTTAAAAATAGATCTGATTGTGTCATTCATATTAACATTTTTTAAAGGCCTTTTAAGTAATGACCTGCAGGATTTAGGACAGGCCTACTTCCTTCCTCAACTCTAGCTGCATTGTCTCGTTGTTCCCTGACATTCAGCCACAGTGGTCTTGCTTTGTTTCTACAAAGTGCTACTCTTCTGGCTTTCTAGTTTTTATCCTTGTTTATAACTCTCTACCTAGCATTCCTCTGTCCCTCACATTGTTTCTAGCCTTAGTTGTCTTCAAGCTCTTCTGCTCTGACTGTTTGCCTGTTACTCTCTTTCAAAAAGCCCATTCTGTTTCATGTTTTGGAGTTATTTGGTTTATTTTTGTTTCTGTGTGTATATGTATTTCTATTTATGGACAAGAACATGGTGGTTTTGTTTTGTTTTTGGTGACAAGGTCTTACTATGTAGTTCAAGCTAAGCTTGAACTTGGCAATCTCCCTACTTCAGCCTCTCAAAGTACTTGAGATTACCAGTGTGTGCCCAGCTTTAGACAGGAACCTTTTTTTGTTTGTTTAAATATGAGACCCATGTGTCACTATGTAGTTCAATCTGGCCTTGAACTCATTATATAGTCCAAGCTGGCCTCAACTTCTAGTGACATTCTGCCTCAGCCATCCAAGTGCTGGGATGTGCCACCACACCTGGCTAGACAAGAACTCTTGAGATTTAAAAAAAAAAAAATCTGACTTATAAACATTCCTGTTAGTTTACCTTTTTCTTGCCTTTTCCTATTTCTTCAACTTGATTTTCCCTTTTAATTTTATTGTACTTCTTTTTAATTTTTTCATTTTTTATTGTTTTTATAATGTAGCAAGCCTAACCATAGCTAATAAGCATAAGAATATTGCTAATACTTAAAATAGAGAATTTTTATATTTTGTAAATAAATAGATTTAATTTTAAATGCCTTTGAATTTTAAATTTCTTTTGTTTAAAAGTCTCTTAGAATTCATAGAGTTCATTTCCTTTCTGTTTTCTAAATCTGTTTTTCTTAACCATTAACTTATAAAATGTTTCATTCTGGTTTTGTTTTGTCTTTATATTACAAGAAGTTTTACTTTTGTAATTACAGATATAAGTTATGTTAGTTATCAGTAAACTATTGTAATTCATATCGTAGAAAGTAATCTTGTTTTGTTTTTTTTTTTAGCTAGAATGGTTAGAGAAGGCCTGATCAATTATATGAATGACATTTATTCAGGAACCTAATCAAGATGAGTGAGCTATCTAAATAAATAGATGAAAAAAGAAGGAAAGTGTGTATAGAGAATCTCTGAGACAGAAATGATCTTAGTATATTTGAGTGCCGTAAGTCATTTTGACTAAAAAATAGGGAACCAGAAAACTAGTCCTTCTGTGGAGGTATTAATGTCACACAAGAAACAAGCAATCTAAATTTTGTCTTTAAATAGCTACTGTGTCCACTTAAAATAGAGATGAGGGAGGAAAATAGGGAGAAAGGGGCAAGAAGGAAAGCTGAGAGATCAATTAAAGTCTCATCTGTAGTGATGTAATTTAGGTGAGAGTTGGTGGTTGCTTGGACTAGAATAATGGCAGGGAAGGGTAACTGGGAGCTAGTAGTTTAAGTATGTATTGTGTTTTGAGGGTAGGACTTAAAAGATAAGTGAATGTTGGTTGTAAGAGAAGAAACTTTTGATAGTGAATAACTCTTGAATGATAGAGGGGAGGGTTTATAGATAGAATAAACAAGAGATTTAAAGTGAGATCTGATTTAAATCTGACATCTATTAGGGTATGTCCTTTGACAAGGTCACTAACTTCTGGGCCTTTGTTTGCCTAGTAGAAGTGCTTTGACAAATATTTTGACTGTACATATAAAGGCCTGTAGCTCACTGTTCAGATCAAGGTATGATCTATATTAACTTCTTTGTTATTGTTTCTTTTAGGTGAAGTTTTTAGGATTTTTTTGTATAGTATTAGTAGTATCAGAAAACACAAGTTTCAGACAGATCGTAAGAAATATTCTTTTGGAACTTGGTCGTTTGTGAATTGAATTTCGTGATGGCAAAACTATATTGTATAACTTCTTGATGATCTTTAATCTACATTTCTTTTATAGAATTAGGTACCTGTAGCTCATATTTCTTAAAAAATACTATGGTAATATTTCAGTTTATCTTTTCAGTACATAGCAAGAAAGAAACTGTAGGAAATCTTGAGAATTTTAGAGGCATTTGCCCTTTAAAGATCATGCTTATTATAGTAATTAAGAGAGAATCTTATGAATGTCCTTTTTACTTAAGTAATTGAAGATTAGTCGTACGAGTGGATTTTCATTTTAAATTTTCTTTCTGTAGGTGAAGCTGTACTTCACAAAAACAGTAGAGGAGCCATCAAATCCAGAGGCTAGCAGTTCAACTTCCGTAACGCCAGATGTTAGTGACAATGAACCTGATCATTATAGATATTCTGACACCACTGACTCTGATCCAGAGAATGAGCCTTTTGATGAAGATCAGCACACACAAATTACGAAAGTCTGATTTTTTTTATCAAGAGGAATTAAAAACCATGAAAACAAACTTGAATAAACTGAAAATGGACCTTTTTTTTTTTTTTTTTAATGGCAATAGGACATTGTGTCAGATTACAAGTTATAGGAACAATTCTCTTTTCCTGACCAATCTTGTTTTACCCTATACATCCACAGGGTTTTGACACTTGTTGTCCAGTTGAAAAAAGGTTGTGTAGCTGTGTTATGTATATACCTTTTTGTGTCAAAAGGACATTTAAAATTCAATTAGGATAAATAAAAATGGCACTTTCCCATTTTATTCCAGTTTTCTAAAAAGTGGAGACAGACTGATGTGTATACTTGGGAATTTTTCCTTTTGTGTTCTGTCACCAATTGAAGTGGCTAAAGAGCTTTGCGAATCACAGGTTCACATCCTACCCCTTTGCACTTGTGGCAACAGATAAGTTCGCAGTTGGCTAAGAGAAGTTTCTGGAGGGTTTTTGCTACATCCTAATGCATGTATTCAGGTTAAGGGAATGGAGGGAGTGCTCAGAAAGGAATATATTTTATGCTGGACTGTGGACCACATACCATCTCCAGCTATTTACATGCATCTTTCTTTAGCATGCTACAGTTACTAATCTGGACATTTGAGGAATTGGCCGCTGTCACTGCTTGTTGTTTGTGCATTTTTAAAAAAAGCATATTGGTGCTAGAAAAGGCAGCTAGAGAGAATGAATCTGTATTTGGGGTATAGGAATGAACCTTCTGCAACATCTTAATCCACAAATGAAGGGAAATAAAAATGATGTCAGATTAGAAACACAGCAACAATGACTTAACCATATAAATGTGGAGGCTATCGACAAAAAATGGGCTTGAAACATTACAAAAATTGACAGTAATTTCTTAAATATGTCTTCTCAATTGTAATGACTGCTCCATCTCCTGCGTAATCAAAACCAGTGCTAAAAGTCAGATGCTATTAGTACCTACATCAGTCAACAATTTATTACGTTTCAATCATATACCTGCTGTGGATGCTTCATGTGCTGAGTATAAGCTTCTTTTTACTCACTAAATACAAAATATTTTGTAATGCTGCACAGGAAATTTCAAGATTCTACAGTAAGTGTTTTTTTTTTTCTTTAAAGATTTATGATGCAATTATTCAGTCCAGTAGCTGTCAGCCGTTCCACCCTTTTGACCTTACACATTCTATTACAATGAGTTTTGCAGTTTTGCACATTTTTTAAATGTCATTAACTGTTAGGGAATTTTACTTGAATACTGAATACATATGTGTATATTAAAAATTTTGTGTTAAAAAGGAAATTAGAGTTGCAGTAAATTTTCAACACTGTACAAATAAGGCATTTAATTTTTCAGTAGAAATTGTCCATAAGCTTTATCAATTTGTTATTGAAAGAATAGATTTTTTTTCAATGTGCAGTGTTGGTTCATTTCTTCATAGTGCTAGAGTTGAGAACTAAGGCTTCAATTTATGTCTTAAGTATCATCATATATTTGATATGCCCAGACTGCATATGATTTTAAGCAGAGTACAACTACTGTTGTAAAGGTAATGTGAAGTTACTATTAAAAAGGATTTTTCCCTCAGAAATTTGATATCTTTAAAATTATACCCTGACCTTGACATTTGAATACCTAGCCATTGTATTTCTTATTGGTGTAAAATCCCATTTTCAATAACTTATTGGTGCTGAAATTGTTCACTAGCTGTGGTCTGATCTAGTTAATTCACACAGATTGCATAGAACTTATTAGAACAGCATTTATAGAGTTTGATGGTAAATAGATCAGGCAGAACTTTATCTAAAATATTCTTAGTATATAATGACATGTTTTCCATATGTCATCAGTTTCATTCAACAAATAAAGTTTTAAAATTTTTAACAAAACTGTTAGGGTTTACACATTTATATTTAAACATTGATAATACAGAGTATTCATTGACTGCTCATTAAGTTAAATTGGTGAAGTTAGAAACTATTCCACGGATCTTCTCACTGAAATTAATCTGCCATTTTATCTTTCATGAAAACTGAAAATTGACTAATGAAAATCAACTAGATTTGAAAATAGGTATTAATACTGTTCTTTGTTACAGTTTTGGGCACAGTATATTAAAACGTAACTTGCATTGTTTCAATATGTAACATGAAGGGCCAGGTTATAAATAATTATATTATAATGGGCTTTTGCACTGTTATTTTTCCTTTGGAATGTGAAGGTCTGAATGAGGGTTTTGATTTTGAATGTTCCAGTGTTTTTGAGAAGCCTTGCTTACATTTTATGGTGTAGTCATTGGAAATGGAAAAATGGCATTATATATATTATATATATAAATATATATTATACATACTCTCCTTTATTTCAGTTACCATCCCCATAGAATTTGACAAGAATTGCTATGACTGAAAGGTTTTCAAGTCCTAATTAAAACTTTATTTATGACAGTATTCATAATTAGCCTGAAATGCATTCTATAGTAATTTCTCCCAAATTTCTGGAATGTTTTTTTAGACTTTTTGTATGTGCAGCAGCTTACATGTCTGAAGTTACTTGAAGGCACCACTTTTAAGAAAGCTTACGATTGGGCCCTATACCATCCTAAATCCTCTGTAACTCCTCTTGAATATTTTTGCCATAATTATAAAAGGGTAGTTGAATAAATAGCATCACCATTCTTTGCTGTGGCACAGGTTATAAACTTAAGTGGAGTTTACCGGCAGCATCAAATGTTTCAGCTTTAAAAAATATGAGTAGGGTACAAGTTATGTGTTTAGTTCTAGAAAATTTGTGCAATATGTTCATAACGATGGCTGTGGTTGCCACAAAGTGCCTCGTTTACCTTTAAATACTGTTAATGTGTCATGCATGCAGATGGAAGGGGTGGAACTGTGCACTCAAGTGGGGGCTTTAACTGTAGTATTTGGCAGAGTTACCTTCTATCTGCCAGTTCAAAAGTTCGATCTGTTTTCATATAGAATATATATACTAAAATTTTCAGTCTGTTAAACAGCCTTACTCTGATTCAGCCTCTTCAGATATTCTTGTGCAGCAGTGGCTCTGTGTGTAAATGCTATGCACTGAGGATACACACAAACATACACACACAAAAAATGATGTGTACAGGATAATGCCTCATACCAATCAGATGTCCATTTGTTACTGTGTTTGTTAACAACCCTTTATCTCTTAGTGTTATAAACTCCACTTAAAACTGATTAAAGTCTCATTCTTGTCATTGTGTGGGTGTTTTATTAAATGAGAGTATTTATAATTTAAATTTGCATAAATCCATTGAAATTTTAGGTAATGGGTAGCCAAATAGGATTATATTTTCTCTAAGGTTCCCGCCCACCCTCCTGCTGTCCATCAGAGTCAGTGGGCTTTTTATAAAAGAATGACTTTTGCTTAGGAGTAGATTATATGTCTACTCGTGTTTAAGAAACACTATTCAAGCCTTAGTCACCACTTAATAAAATGTCTGGGCACATGAAATAATAATTTTAGTCCTGACAAAGTTCCATATTCTTGGCGAACTTTATATTGTACTGTTAAGCTCAATGTCTGAAGACAACTTTCCCAAATTTTGTGGCTTTTTCTTTATAATTTTTTACTTTGTCTTGTTCAACATAATGGGGAACTTTATTTCTTGTGCCATATAAAAAGTGAAATTTGAGAATAAGTTACTTGTGTACTTTTAGGTATACTAGGAAGCTTAAACACTGAGGCATATCCTTTCAACACAACATAAAATTAAGGTAATAAATGAAATTATAGTTTGTACAAATGTTTTGATAGCAAAGCAAACTTAATGTAACAATGGATTTAATGTTTCAAGTTTACATCTCCATGTGAATGATATGTAAGATGAAGCATGAAGTGTATGTTTATTCACAGTAAGTGTACATGAAAACTATCCTGGAGTCTAATAATACTTCAGTTTATAACAACATACTTTGGTGATGTTTGCAAAACAGGAATTTATTGAAATTCTGATTTTGTGTCATGCCTGCACTGTACTGTAACTTGAGCTGGCGTGATTCAGTGAATGCCATCACCATTTCCATTGAAAATTTAAAAATCACCGGTGTTTAACATGCAGGCTTCCAAAGGCTTCCAAAAAATCAAGACCCTTGAATTTAGTTAAATTACTGCTAACCTGAAATTGGGTTTTTTTATTTTTGCCAGATAATTGGCAATTTTACATGGCTTATGTGTAACTAAATTAGCAGTGCTGTCACTAGTGCAGAGAAATTTTTGTGACTGGAAACAATAATTCAGTTAAAACTTGAAGGCATGGGATGTAAAACAGCATGGTAATGGAGAAAGACTTTTAAAGGTGAGATATTAGTGACTAATTTACTTATAACATTATATAGCTATAGGAATCCTAGTGGCAAAGTTGCTTATCAGTTTGTAGAGTTTAGAAAAAAATCACTTTTATAATGATCATATTTCTCCTATCTTTCAAGAGAGCTTCCTTATAGATAGCATAATATGAGTAGCCACTCAGACAATTTCATGTTGGTTGGTAGCTTTAAATATTTATAATGTGAAGACAAGACCAAACAGTTTCACTGGTGATAGTACTCGTTGGTTTTTAAGTTGGCTATTTTTAGAATAATTTCCCAAATTTCCTAAAATAATCACTTATAATCTCAGCACTTGGAGATAGAGCCATTATTACTTTAGTGACTATACAATCTTTTTTGTGTATATTCATGTATATATTTTAGAAAATGAAATTTATACTGTGCATATTGTTAGTGTCTTGCTTCATATTTTCATCATGGATTTGTAGAATGTCCCATTGCTTTACAAAATGGAAAGTTACTTGAGCACTTTCTAATGTTACACATGCAGATTATATACAGTTACCGAGCATTCAAGTCAGTGGGTTAATACTGTTGGCATTAGGATGGTATATGTCTAAGTAAATCAGTTACATTTATTTAGCATAAAGAAGCTTAAAATTTTGGATATTCAAAGAACCATATTAAGTAGAATATGTGGAATACTATATTAATAGTTCATCACTTCTGTTTCCCTTTTAGATTGGAAAGGAAAGATGGACTTTTCAGTTTGTATAGTGGTAAGAAGTTGCTCAATTTAGAGCCAGTTATTTTAACACCCATCCCCCACAATACCCCCAAAAAAGCAAAACTACTGTGGATTTATCATGTCTTTAAATCTGCATGGCCATGTGATTTGCATCACATCAAAAACAATATCTCATGAACGGTTTGCCCTTAGCTCTGAAAACAGGTTTATTATTATGGTGAGCTTAGAATGTACAACTTTTTGATAGTTTTTTGAGAATTCTGGTGAAGACACAGCTGAGGGTAGTATATATAACTTATAAACCAATGTATTAATATTTTTAAAACATTTTTACATATGAGTGAAGTTAACTGCCATCTTTGAGCATTACCACATTTTAAAATAAAGCTACATATTTTTAAATGAAGTGTTTAACAAGGATTTATATTTTTCATTTTTAAAAATTAAAAGTAATTTATATCTTCTCTGTTGCATGTGGGTTCTCATCTGTCCTTATAATGGTTAGAGAATTTGTTTGTGTAGAAGGAACAAAGCTTGTAGTCATGGCTTTAGTGTTGCAGTTTGCCAAATCTGTTTACTACAGTGAAATTCTTGATGTTTAGGTGTGGTGTTCAATAGCACATCACTTACTGGCTGTTATTTATGTGCGCCTCTAGGATTTTTTGCCTACTACAGTTGTCTGAATGATATCTCACCTTTACAAATGCCGTTTCAGTATCCAACTTGGTTCCATTAAATTGCCCTTGTGCCCTAGTGAACAGTTTGTACGTGTGCATGTGTGAATTTGTGTGTATGTGGAGCGTGTCTGGGTGAATTAGATTTTCAAGAGTGCTACACTAATTTAGAGATTAAATAATTTGATTCAGGCAAACATTTCTCACTGGAATTTTTCAGTTATTGTAATGAAAATGTTAACCCTGGACAACCTTTGGCATACAGTAGTGAATCATGGATATTGATGAATTTGTTAGTAGCATCTTGATATGTACATTAATGAGTTATTTTTAAAGTTGTGCATTAAACCAAAGTTGGCATTTTGGAAATGTTTATATCAAGTTCCATTTGGCTACTGATGGACAAGAATAGAAATGCCTTCCTATGGAGAGTATTTTTCCTTTAAAAAATTAAAAAGGTTAATTATTTTGACTGTTTGTTTTTAGCTTTTTATTCATCCAGCAAGTACTTATCAACCCTGTTATGTGTTCAGAAAACATGAGTGAGCAAAACAGACACACAGTACTCTTGCTCATAAGCTTATATTCCAGTAGAGGAAATAAACTTTACCAAAATAATTATAAACTGTGATACATGCTGTGAAATATGAGATACATACAATACAGTGATGTTCACCAGACATGCTGTAGATTTCCACCTTCAGGGAGTTGGATGGGCCTCATGTGACTAATTCATTCAAAGATGAGTGAAAATACTATGAAAGTTCCAAGTAAACGCAATGAAAAATGTGCACTCAACTCCCTAGCTTTTCTAGTGCAGTGACAAAGGTTTTGATAGGTCCTAGATGGGATAGCTCTATTAGCCTGAGTTTAGAGTTTCTGTACAGAGAAGAATGCTATACAGAACACAATTCCTCTTCTCCCCATAATGAACTGGTAAAGCAGTACAAGTAAGTTGTAAAACTGTTTTCATTGATATTTTGATATTACAGCATAGATTATAACTAATGTAGTACTTTGGAAAAAATTAGGAATAGCTTTCCTGAGCAAAGAAGAGTTAAAAATGAAGCAAAATGACATCTTTATACAATCTGACACAATAAATTGCAAGACATCGGAGAATTACTGAACAATAGTTACTGAGATTTGTGTCAGGTATTCTAGGTGTTTGGTATACAAATAAGTAAACAGCAAATCTTATTTTGTGGAGCTTGCATTCTAGCAAGAGAAAATAGTGCAGTGCTGGAAAATGTGGCACTTGTCAGCTAAGAGAAATGACTTTAGGGTGGAGAGATGCAGAGAAGACCCCACCGGAGTGTAAGCTTTGAATAGACTCAACAGTGGTGTTAGAATTTTCTTTCATCCTTTGAACCAGTAATATGCACTTGGAATACTCTACAAAATTGTATTCTAGCTATTCAGCTCTGTACATTCAAATTTCAAAGGTTATTGGTATATTTAGGGAGAGGTTTTTTTTTTTTAAGTACCACCCTAAATAGGCATGGTGTTATAAATCACTCTTGTTTTCTAAATTGGTTTGGTAAAATCTATAAAATCAGTTCTTCTAGGTTGATTTTGTAGTTTTTCTTACACTGTGTACATATTTTGAAAATACTAATATTGCTGTTCAGAAAACATTAAAATCTTATAACCTTAAAACATTTCTAAAAGCTGAGAGGGAATACTTTAATTTACTAATGAGGAACAACTAATAAATTTTAAGCTACTTGACAAATGAAAAATTTATAATCTAGTGCTGTCCATTTTCATTCTTAACTATAATAAAAAAATCTGAAAGAGTAGCATTATGTAAATAGCAAAAGAAAGATTCCTGCATCCCCACATTTCCACAAAAAAGGAACTTCCTAACTCATTTCAATATTAGGGCCCAGGAAGTTAAACTTTGGAACCCAGGGGAAATGGCATCATTAAATTGATACAATGGAAATTTGGGTCTGTTTACTCAAGTGGGCACTATCTTTTTGCTTGTGATCAGTGTCTTTCTTTTCTAAGGGCAGATATTACAGTTAGGAATGGAATCTTGCAAGAAAAGACTTTTTTGGGGAGACAGTTTTGCTATATAGTTTAGGCTGGACTTGAATGGACTCAGCTATGTAGCCCACGCTGGTCAACTTGCAGTGATCCTCCTGCCTCAGCCTCCCATGTGCTAAGTTTACTGATGTGTGCCACCATCCCTGGCTAGCTTTTTATTTATTTTTTTGGTGCCAGGTATCAAGCTCATGGCCTCACGCTTGCCAGGCAGGTGTTTATACCACTGAGCTGAATCCCTGGCCCAAGCTTTCTTTTTTATTATTTAAAAGTAAATTTTAGGGAACTTTAAACACATTTTCTGGCAATTATTTTTTGACATTTCATTTTACTTTAGAAAGGACTTAAGTTATCTGAATGAGTTACCCCTGCGTGAAAAAAATTACCATAAAAATTTAGAAAAAAAACTATGTATGTTTCCTTTGTTTTATCATAAAGGTTAAAATTGACATAATGTCTCTTGAACTTGGATCATTGGACTTTACTTCTAATGGTATTATGAGTTATCCCTTTAAACATTTATATAGTCGTATTATTTGCATGTACTAATTCTTCACAATGAATGTAATTGTGTATTGTAAACGTACTCAAAAATTAAAAGCATTTATAAATAAGCACACAAACCTAATTTTCAAGGAAAAGAAATGCTTTTACTGTAGTACTTTTCTTGAAAAACTTGCGAGTGAAAATTCAGTAAGTTATGTGCCTCTGTTTAATAGTATACTTCACTGTGAGCTGACATATTGTAGATTTAGCAAAATACTAAGTGTGCCACTATTCTGTAAGTAATAAAATTTAGTTAATTCTTACAGTTAACTAACATTAGAACACATTGTGACATGGAAGAGTTATTAGCAACTTGATCATGATTATACTTTTATAATCATGGTTTTGAAATGAGATCTCTCAAATTTCCTGTCTTATTGCCTACAGCAATGGTGGGAAACCTGGGGCCCATGTGCTGCAGTGGGCTGTTATCATTGAAAGCTCTAAAAGACCTATAGGAAAGAGAAATATATTTAAGTTTCACAAATGCACATGAAAATTACTGAAATTTTTAGTTTTATACACTATTTTCATGAAAAAGTTATTGGCAGGAAAGCCCAGCAATTTTTATGTGATTATTTTAAACAAGGGAACCATAAATAGTTCTTTAATTAGTTAATACTTTGTTTAATATCTACAGCCATTGTGTCATATGAATGCTAGGTTTCCTTGTATTAGTAGCATTGTATATTAGTGAATATTTTTAAAGGAAAATAAGTTAGTCTCTGGTAAAATAGTAGGCATTAGGTAAAATTTTCCTGTGCTGACTCAGCAGACACTAATGTATTTAGCTGTCCTAACTGAAGCCATTGTTTCTATAAAAATGTAATAAAATAACCTATAATATCACAATGAACATGATTTACTCAAGTAAAATATTGTCTAGAGGACATCTGAGAGCCTCAAGTAACCTGATTTTATTCTCCAAAAAGTTTAACACAGTTCTACTTCAGAAAATTTGGACTCCTTTAAAATTCATAAGAATTCTGTGGTAAGTCAGCTCACTTCCTATAGATTAAAACTGAGCAGAGAAGGGAAGCGGAAGTAAGGAAAGCAGGAAGAAAAGCAAGCTAGGGAGACCTCAGACTAACTTACTCCTGGAGGGCTGCTAGATGATAATACAATGATAACTATGGCATCATGAGTTTGAACCTGTAATAGGTACCAAACACACCTGCTTTACCCCTCTAAGGTAGGTCATTTTATCTTATACACAAAAACTAAAAGTCAAGATTCCTAAATTACCCAGGTCTCTCAACTAGGAGTAAGAAACTAAAATAATTTGATTCCAGGGCCATATATTATTCCTACTATCATACACAAAATCCTTCTTAAACAGAGTCAGATACACAAGCTTGAAACCTCCAAGTCATAGTTAGGTCATTGTTTTTTAGCACTGACAGAAGGCCAAACTAATAGAAGACATAAATCCCACAAAACAAGCATCAAAGAAAAATTTGAACAGTTGTTTATGCTACTAAAGAGAAAGTGACTACAGATTTTGCCAAGTTCCTGAGAGGTAAAATGGTAAAAAAAACTGGCACACATTTTTATATCAGAACTCAAGGTGAGAGTTCTTAGATTTGTTAGTGTTGTGTGAAATCCAGTATACAGACGGTACTTTATTTTGCTTAACTGGAATCCCCAGGTTGTTTAAAGTGATTAAATTTTAATTAAGCAGACCAACCTACCAACTGAAAAATCTATTATACTGCATCAATTAGGAATTGTGTCGAAGTTAGAAAAGTTCATGGATTTTATACAGAGGAAGGAGCAAGTGCAAATGGTTTGATGTGGGGGAAAATGTCCATTTAGGAAACTGGACATAGGAAGACAGTCTAGAGCAGAGTAGGTAACCAAGTGGTGAAACATACATTTTAGAGAAGTAGGCAGAAACACTAATGGTTTTGGCCAAGGCAGAATAAAACTGCTAAAACCTATCTCTACCCCCAGTGACAGCTGAAATCTCTGTATCAAGTACAAAATACCTAAACAATCTGAAAAAGGAAAGAAAAACATTGTAAAGAAGAGTCAAAACTGAAATACATATGATGTTTTCCACTTGAGCTGCACAGCAATGTTGTCACAAGCTACTAAACCTGAAAGGAATTCAGCTTCCTGATCACAGTAACCAGGAAAGGGTCTCTTGTACAAGGAGCGGGGAATATTGGAGATAGGGGTAGGGATTGGAGAAGTCCTGAAAGAAAACTGGGAAGAGGGATGCTGTAACTCTTGTATTTAAACTTCCACAAGCTCTAGGCTCACTTCTGAGCTGGCATGCACAGGGCAAGCCTAAGGGAGCGTAGCAAAGCCTTCAGAAATATTATGGATATTGAACCAGTACTGAATCTGAGCCTAATAGTTGAATACCTATATCAACCATTATTCCAAGATATTCTAACATAACTCAGGATCTGTATAATAATACATTATACAATATTAGCTAACTAGAAAAAAACAGGAAAATGTGACAAGCTCCCAAGATAAAGGACTATCGAGATGCTGTTGTTAGGGTATCCAAAGTAATAGCTTTAATACAGAACACAATTTATAGGATTATTTTATAACCACAAAGAGTCAAATGCAAAGGAATATGGAAAATCTGTCCACACACTAGAGACCCCAAAGAATCCAGGTGAGGGCCGGCATCCTATAGCAATGTCCTGCATGGGTTCAACTGAAGACCTAGAGTCCATGGCAATGTCCTCCATGAGTTCAACTGGAGGCCTAGAGCTTATGACAATGTCTCATTCAAGTCCATGTCAATGATCAGCACAGGAAAGGCCCAAAGATCAGTGGTGGCAGCTACTAAATCTGTGCCAGGAGAGAATGGTCTGTGCCAGCAGACTGATGGATCTGCACTGGAACCAGGAAGCG